TTTATTTATTTATTTATTTATACCCCGCCCATCTAGACAAATAGTCTACTAGACTAGTAGTCATTGAACGTTATACAGTGGATTTAGAGAAACTATGGACTGTTCCAGATGGAGCATTTGTACCGTTACGAGTTCTGGGCAACCCGCCAGCCCTATGGAAATTCTTCTCCATGTTCAAACAACATTCCTTCTATCTCCTTTTGTCTCAGTCCTCCCCACCTCCACCTGAGTTCCTGTTGCAGAGTTTTGAATTTCGGCTAATATTCCCATTCTGCTGTACAGCCCAGTACAGACTCCTAGAGGAGAATAGCTACAAGTTCCCCAAATAGTCCACCCCTTTCTCATGAGCTGGCCCGTAAGATCTGAGTAGTTCCCGCTGAGACATTTGTGGGAGAAAGAATTTTTTTTAAAAAAATTCATTACTGTAGAGGCAGGGCTGTCTTTGAATTCAGAGGCTGGAAGGAATGATGAGTTCATGTTTGATAGATTGACCGTCACGCCAGCCCAGAAAGGCCCCTCTCAGTCACTCAAAACCACAGGCAGCCTGCGAGGTTACAAATAAAACTTCAATGGTTCCCAGGTCTTTTTCACCATCCCAAAGCACTGGATTTATTTTTTGTTCTGGGTTTCTATCGGGTGGCGAGTTCAGTGCCGTGGCCCCTTCCCTAAAAGTTCAGTGTTAATGCACAAGGAGTGCGGGGAAGCACGGCTGAGTTGTTCAGCACTACGGCGGATGCTTGTTGCCCCTTGGCAAGTGTCTGGAAAGAGCACGGATAGTGCTGGAGCCATGACGCCGTATAGCGCTAGACCGCCCACGATCAGGACGCCCCTCCCGTAATTCCCATGAACTTCAGCAAGAAAAGGAAGCAAGGAACGTTTGCCCCATTTGGAAAGCCCCTCCCACCCACTGTGCTTCTGTGGACTACAACTCCCATAATCAGTCCCGGTGACAACAGGGTTTTGAATGCAGCACCTTGAGTAGAAACTTTCTCGTGATGCAGAGGTAAGAAACAGAGACTCTGTTTGGTCTTTTGTGGCAGTCGATGGAAGGTGGTCCCCCTGGGAGCCGTGGACTCCCTGCCCGGTCTCCTGCGGACTAGGAGTCATCCGGCGATCGCGGTCTTGCAACAAGCCTGCTCCGAAGCATGGGGGGAAGAACTGCAGCGGCCACGGATACGAGGAAGGCTCCTGTGGATTTCCAGTGAGTGATGACCTTTTTTTAAAGGGGACAGACGAGTGATTTTTCAGAGAGATGCATCAGGTTGGGAAAGTGTGTGTTCCCCTAAGTTATGTCTTGTCCCACAAATGGCAGCCTTATAACCAGAGGCTCGGAAACTCAGCCTCGCCCCAGTGGCAGTTACAGAACAGGATTTGACCCATGGTTTTGCAATATGCTGAGAGTAAACTGGGGTTTGTAAATTCCCTTGGCTTTTTCCCCCGGGAATGAAACTCAACATTTTCGCTCTGATTGGACATCACAGAAACAGGTTGGAATCAGGCCCGTTCTGAATTTGCAATTTGTCCACACGTCTCTGATGAATCCCTTCTTTGGTCTCATTGCTTGATTTGTTCACTTTTTTTACCTTTTTAAAATTAATTTTTAAAAATATAGCAAAGACATGTGACAAATAGAATCATAACTCAAATGTACAGTGTAACCCACCACCATCCGAAATGGTAAATTTGTAAAATCAAGTGATGAGATTGATATGTATATATATATACTCATTGATATCTTTCATTTTAATTTATTTCATGTGCCCCGTCTCTTTCCAAAAATATAATGATTCTTGTGTCAGGGTATAACCTTTAGGTTTTGTAAATACGTATTCTACATAAGGGTCCCGGATCCCATTAAAACTATTTTTTTTCAATAATCCTTTTTTCTAACTCAGTTCACCAGCTAATTTATCGTTAATAGCTAGATAGCACACACCTCATTGTACCATTCTTTCAACATCAAATGATGATTATTTTTCCTATTCTCATCCCTTGATTTTTTTTTCGTTTTGTTCGCAGGAGGCCTTCTGCAAATATCTGCCGAAATTCTATGCATCTAGATGACCCGGGAAACCAAGTCGGTGAAAAAGGCCAACGCTGGCCAACGTAGCAAAAAGGGAAATGGAGGAACAGAATGATGATCAAGTAATCATTCTCTGATGGACACAGAACTGAGTGTGAGACCTATGGCTTAGCTGGAATTGGAGTCCTTCGTTGGACATACAAAATGATTCTCACATGTCCTCAAACCATTGCAGGAGGAATGGATTATCTTTGTGGGAATTCAAGAAGGAGAGAACATCAAACAGTTCCCAACCTTGGGTATTCCAATGTTCTTAGAGTGCAACTCCCAGAAACCTTCAGCTAGCCAGGATTTCGGAGATCTGTGGTCCAAGACCACCTGGGTTATCCAAGGTTGGGAACCAGCGCTCTTGAAGAACACTAGCGAACCATGTGAATTGTACTAAGAAATACCTGGAATCAGGCATCTTGGTGTCTTCTCCAGAAATTAAAATATTCTTAAACTAGCTTTCCTCCACTTTGGTCTCTCCTAGTTCTCATGGTTTCATTTTTGACAGCTGTCCCGACCATGAGTCAAGTGGGTTGGGTAGATTACGAGTTGCAATTCTGAAATCTATTGAGAGAGCCTGGTTGAAAGAAGGTTCTTCAATGCTTGCTTCAAAAGCCACGCTGATCTGCAACTCCCCATATAAGTACGGAAAGAAGTGTGTGTACATCTGTGTGAGAAAACAGAATTTTGGTCTTCTCTTGAGGCAAACGACATTTTGAATACGTTTATTGTGTTACCAAAAAAAAAGGAGCTATAAAAATAACACATCTTCCCCCCAAATATATCGTTACAGTAAAACAAAACAAATCTCACAATTCACAACAAGGGTTGGATTCTATTCATGTTTGGGTTTAAAAGCGAACTCCCAACAAGTTTGGGCACATTTGAGGAACAGCAGCGTGGAGAAGGCCATCTAGGGGGACGTGCGCTAGGTATTTCCAGCGCTAAACCAACTTTATAGATTCGGTCTATTGCTCGTTTCAAATTCAGACCAGCCTGAACCATTCAGAGCCCCCTTCGTGGACTGTATACGCAAAGAGACTTCTGGAAACTGAAGGTGCCACCGTACCCCTCTCTGCCTGTATGTCAATGAAGACCCCCTGAGTAGAAAATGCCCGTATAGATCTATTGTAACTCAGAAGAGTTCCTCTCTCTCTTTCTGGATTATTCTCCCACAGTCTAGAATCTGTCACCCAACGTGGCTGCTATATATCCAGGTGGTTCTGGAAGATTTGGAGTAAGATCCTTTAATCCATATAGGATTGGTTCCAAGTCCCTGCAGATGCTGAAAAACGCAGATGATAGCAAACACTACACACAGCGTGGTCAACCATGTGAACAGATGTGAATCTCAGCCTATGTCCACAGTCCTCTAATTTCTGATGACACCTCTACCCAAGAATGCCTACTGAATTTCTAGATAGTTTAGACCAGTGGCCCCCAACCTTGGGCCTCCAGATGTTCTTGGACTACAACTCCCAGAAGCCTTCACCATCACCTCTGCTGGCCAGGACTTCTGGGAGTTGAAGTTCAAGAACATCTGGAGGCCCAAGGTTGGGGACCACTGGTTTAGACTACCAACATGTGTCCAACATGTTGACATTTGCCAGTGGTAACAGCATACACACACCCAGAGTTAATTCGTACAGTAATACTGCTAAGAGAGAGCATTTCCATGGCCACTGAAGATGCTACGTGACAGGAAAGGGGAAAACAAAACCCTGTAAAGTGCTTCAACTCATTATTGTTTTGTAAGAATGACCTGGTATCCAGAACTGCTGGATAGCTCAGTGGTTCAGGTCTCTCTGGCTGTGGATCCAGAGGTTGGGAGTTCGATTCCCCCCACTGGGCCTCTTTGAAAGGGGCTGGGCTCAATGATCCATAGGGTCCTTTCCAGTTCTAAGCTTATAATATTATTAATCTCACCAATTCTTCAGAGATGTGAACTACAGACTTTTTTTTAGCTCCTTGGTTTTGAAATTGACTTGCCTCCAGTTTCCGACGGCCACCGGTGGGCCCGCTCTTCTGGAGATAAGCCTCTGTGCGGTTGCCATAGTGGGGGCAAACGCATTGCATCAGATTGTCATGATTTCTTTCAAATCAAAAACCTGTCTCAAGAGAAGGCCACTGGGCATCAGCCTCTGAGTGGCATCAACCAAAGGCATTATGAGGAAAACAAAATGGCGGCCATGATACACACCCAACATGGCGGACTTCGATGACACCTAGCCATGGCTTCCTTACCATCCCTTGACACAATGCCAGGGTATTCTGGGAAAATACAAAATGGTTGCATCCAGATGAATTTCAACCTCCAGTGCTCTCTCTCCCCTCAGGGCAGACAGATGTGAGCATATTGTTGCTTTCTTAAAAACTGCAACTCCAGGTAGTGTGACCATGTTCGTAGTCCAAAAACTGCTTTTCCCCATTTCTGGCACCGTTTGCCAAGGTCAGTGAGGGATTCTATGCCTCGCCCGCTTTTCTGCCCCATTTCCACCTCTATGATAACATTTTTTGGGGGGGGGAATAGACGGGCAGTACACATTGCAATGGAGGTTAAGCAGTGCTTTGAATAACTTTTTGTGAGTCTCTTCGGCAGTCCTTTAGGACCATCTCATCTTGCAAAGCAGTATGGTGGGGTTTTTTTTCCTGCACCTAATTTTGGAGGGTGGGGTACACGTATCAAAAGCTATGGAGTAGCAGTCTCTCTTTTAAAACAAAAAGTGAACACAACATCCACCTTTGCCCTGCAAGGGTTTCAAAACCCACAACGAAGAGGCAAGTCGGTTTAATGCTGTGCTTGGACGCTCACCAGAGGAGGACAGATGTTAAGAACTGTGGGTTGTTCCAGAAAAGACTGCAGCAAATAAAAGGCCTTAAGGCAAGCAAAGGGACTGGTCCTTTTCTAGGTATAAAGGACACACAAGGGGTGTTCTTTTTGGAGGGTGGGGCCATCAGAGGATGACAGACGTTAAAAACTGTGGGTTGTTCCAGGAAAGACAGCAGCAAATAAAAGGCCTTAAGGCAAGCAAGGGGACTGGTCCTTTTCTAGGTATAAAGGACTCACAAGGGGTTTCCCAGGGCCTCCTTCTGGGGGGGGGGCGCTGTGGGTCCCCCATACAGCTTTGCCCATGGGGTACAGCTGACAGGGCACATCCCCTCATCAGCATTTTTAAAATCTCTCCTGATCTTTAGGGGGGGATCAAAGGGATATTTCTGCCATGTTTCGAGAACAGCATCACCCCAGTGCCCCCCACATCCTCTGTACAGATTTTTTTTCAAAAAAATTATTTGTGCAGTGGTTCAGACTGTGGAGCCATAGGTTGGGAGTTTGATTCCCTAGTGGGCCTCTTTGATAGGGGCTGGACTAGATGATCCTTAGGGTCCCTTCCATCTCTGCAGCTCTAAGAGTATTATTATTGTTATTATTATTAAAATTTGGGTGGTGGTGGAAGGTGGGTGATTATGACAGTCATCCAGGAGTGGAGTTGATGGTCCCTGGACTTCCAGAATATGTCCATCATTGCATTACAGGAAACAATAACTCTACTATTACATCTTCAGCTTACTTAGGGTCCTAAGATCTGGAAACTAGATTTTGCATTCAAACCTCCCCCCCAACAAGAAAAAAAACCCACTTAAAGTGAGAGCAGATTCTTCCAGAAGGGATTCAATTCAAGCAAACAAGGATCATGCTGCTGTTCCAGTTTCATTTGCCATAAGAGAATTTGGCCTGCAAACCCAACCATTAGGCCGGGAGCCAAATCTAACATGGGATCGACAATGTGATTCCTCAATGCATTGCTTCTTCCAAATACTCAGGGCAGCCCTCTACCGATGAAGCGTCAATCCATCCTGAAATCACGGGAGTACTAATTGTTCGTGACCCAATGAAGCAAGGCATGGCACCGAATCATCTGAAATCTGAAGTGTGTGGAGAAGAGTTGAAGGGAAGCCAACTGAATATGCTTCGTGTTTCGGTTCCTTTGTCGGCCAAACAGATAGCATGTTCACAAACATATAAAGTTTATGTAGCTTGGCGGTGGCTAATGGCAGCTAATTCCTGCGGTGCCACCAAGATGGGTCCCAGCACCTCAGCAATGAGTAGCAATTAGCCCCAGCACTTTGTGAAAAACTTAGCAGAGACATCAATAGGATTTTTTGCCATGGGGGGGTCAATTCTTCCTACAGACATTTTTGGACATCACATGTGGGGAATAATTCCACACACCAAACTAACTGATTGGACTTTATACACATTGTATATAATGTCTTTTTTAAAAAAAAAAAAACTAGCAAGATCAGGAAAGGATGACAACCTTTTTCGGCCTTCTCTGGGTGGGGAGAAAGCCTTGCTTAGCTTGTGAACCCTCTTTAGAATAGCTTCCAAAAAAATAATAATAATAAACCTTACGACAACATATATATATATACCACATGTGCAGAAAGCTGCCATTTTTTTACATCAAGGTTCCATTCTAGTTAATACACTCATCACTGGGGATCATCAGATTATAAAGAGTTGCTTTTTCTTCCCATTCGACAGAAAACAGTAGAAAAACGAACACTTTTTTGGCAGTTTGTGGAGAGAAACAAAGTCTTCGGCGGTTTGGTAACAAATCGTGGTACGGACGTTCGGAGAAAAGGCGAGAGCGCCTGCGGGTGTGCGGAGAAGACACAAAACTAGTGCTGAGCATCTCTGATGGATGAAGGTGGATGAAAGGGAGGCAGGAGACGGGCTGATCTTTCACAGCTTTTCAGCAAGCTGCAAATTGTCCTGTGGGTTTTTTCCCCCCCGCCATCTTGTGTTGTCCTGCTTAGCACGACCACCCAAATATCAACCTGCCTGATTCCTCTCATGAGTTGCCTGGCGTTGGGAAAAGGAACGGCAGCTCTGTGTAGAAAAGGACGTAGCAATGGACCGTCGTCGAAGTCCCACCGGTAGAGCTCAACTTCCCTGCTACGAACTCTGAAAAATACTCTGTGTGGCTCACCCTGAAGGCCCCCCATCTCTGCTCAGCCCTCACGCCAAACGCCTTTTGGGTCCTGTTTGAGGGTTTCGGCCCTGTCCGCCAGCGGCCACGCTTCAACGGAGGTGCTCAGTTGATCTCCCCCTCCGTATACTCCTCTTTGATGGACTGCTTGCGGGATTTGCAGTCCGGCAGGTCGAAGCCAAAGTCCGACCACTCGTCCGCCCCGCCTCGGTTGGGGATGGTGATGGTGTGGCGGACGCGGAAGTGGACGGCCTCCATGACGCGCTGACGCTGCAGCTCGCCAGAGGCCCCGATGGAGATGGTGGCGGCGTTGCTGCTGCTGCTGCTGCTGGAGCGGATGAGCTGCTGGGCCCCGTAGTCGTGGCCCTGCTTCAGTTCCTGGAGGCCTCTCCAGAGGATCATCCGGTACTGTTCCGGAATCTTCAGTGCGGCGAGATCCTGTAAGGAAACACAACATGGATCATCTCTGGCTGCTCGGAAACAATGCACGCGAAGAGATTGTGGGAAGCGTTGTGAGACACTGCCCAGAGAGTGCTTTCCCGCTATGGAGCAGAGCTGAGGACTTGAGTTGCGGGATTCGCACCCGTGACTCAACTTGGACTTGGCTCTGTTTCCCCCTCCCCCAATGACTTGGACTCAACTTGCAACTTTTGGAACCCAGCCACCCCTTCCTCTTTTTTTCTGAGGGGAAAAGCTTATTTTTAATAGGGACTTGTGTTCGGGACTCTGGACTTGTTCCCAAAGACTTGAAATCAGGACTTGGACTCAATGATTTGCCAATATCCCTTCTACGGGGACAGTATATAAATCGAAACATCCTCATCCTCCTCAAAAAACAACAACATTAATGACTGCAACTACAACACTTAAAGATAAGGTTGCCAGGTAGACAGAATCCCAGTGCTTCACATGACCACCAAAATATCAACAATCTGTTTCATCTCGGGTGTTGCCTGGTGTGGAAAACAGCCAACCTGGTAGCTCTGCTACACGAGCAAAACTTCCTGCCAGCCGCTCTGTCGGGGCCAAAATTTGAAGCCAAGAAGATGGCTCTTGTTATGATAGAGGGACAGGCAAAGGTCAAAAGAGAAGGAAGCCCAACTCAACCCACCAAACATCCCCTCACTGAGCCATTCAACATGGTGGTTCCCGGGAATGAACAGAGATAGTGTTCAGGGCTTCAAGACATCCCATCTGTGGAAATCTGATCTTGTTCTCTTTGGACACTGTTTCTCACAAGATTTGTCTCCTGGCTTCGGAGGCCCTGGAGAAACAGAACCGCTCCCTGAGAATTCCATCCAGAGCTTTGAGACCTGCAACCCTTAACCGGGTTTGTTGACTGAGATGTCAAGGCTAAACCTGAGATCCAGAAACGGACTTCTAGGAATGCCACAGGATGGAGGCTTGGGAGGTTGCAGAAGCTGGAGAAGCAAGGGTTTGGGAGAGGAATCAGAAGCGCCGGTGGGCCTGTTGATTGTAGGGAAGCCGACAAGGGGAGATCCACACAAAGTGGTCCAGAATTAGGAGCCAAAGCCCAGCAAATTGGGTAATACGGCAAGCAAGCACCAAAGGAAAATGTCAGTTGGTTGTTTTGGGTTTTTTGGGCTCTTTGGCCGTGTTCTGAAGTTTGTTCTTCCTAACATTTTGCCAGTCTCTGTGGCTGGCATCTTCAGAGGACAGCACTCTGTGCTCTGGTGTAGTTGGCTTGGGAGTGCAGTATTTATGGCTGTGAGATAGGCTTTTGTCTTTTTCTGTAGATAGGTGATTAGGGTGACTGGCGAAACGTTAGGAAGAACAAACTTCAGAACGCGGCCAAAGAGCCCGAAAAATCCACAACAACCATTAGATCCCAGCTGTGAAAGCCTTCGCAAATACAAAAATGTCAGTTCTTTAGTATCTCATTAGATAGAAAAAATGCATCCTTGTGCTATCTGAGAAACGATGGGGATGCTTGCCCGGGCTTTTTTTAAAAAAAATTCATATACATGGAAAAAACCTTCACCTTCAAAGCCACCGGCCCTAAATTGGGATCTTTGCCAGGAGATCCAGACAAGCATGGAAGTTCTTTGTGACCTGGCAACCCTACGTAGGGCTCGCACAATGATTTGTTCAAGTTTCTCTCTGTCCCTCTCCATGCCCCACACATAACCCGTTTCAAAGAATAAACGAACAGCTCAAGAAATGTGCAAGGCACAAAATACACATCGGACCTAAGAGGTCATTTTAGAAGCTTAGACACTGCACACGACAGAAAAGTGACGTTTGGGTTAGCTCCGCAAGACATTTCAACCGAGCTGGAAAGTCTCAACTCTGTAAGATTGAAACCAAAGAACCGTCCAAGTCGGTCAAAACAGGAAGTACAGAATGTACCCCATCTATTGGAAATGGGGAGTTAGCTTTGGCCCAACTTAGCCGGTCTCAAACGCTTTGACCGATTGGCTGGTTTTGTTCGTCCGTCTTTTGACAAGCAAGCATGCAGAAATAAACTTTGCAGGGTTAATGGTAAGCAGGCTTTGATTCTATTCTAAGACGTTGCAACTGGTTCCAGTTGATGGAAGGAAGGTTGTATGCATCTTCTAACCTCCAGACAATCCAGTGCCTGCCATGTAACTTTGCTCCTTTACTGTTCATGCTTTCTGTCCTGCTGTCTCTTTAATCAAATGCTTACCTTTCTCTCATTGGTGAGTTTATTGGTCTTCAAATTCAAAAATAACCTCCTGTCAACCTTGGTAACACCCTGTAGCTTTATTCGAACATTACCCTACTCTTTAGGATCCACCCACCGCTCTACATTTTCAGATTGGCAGCCCATGGAGACCAAGAAAAAAAAAAGACACAGTAAGCAATCGATCTTCTTTAAAAAGTATTTACCTCTAGGGTCAAATTCTGCAGGTGGTAAAGAGTCTGTAACCCTTGGGAAGTGAAATAGTCAATGCAGTTTGAGCACCCCAGTCCTGTTAAAAAACTGCAGGAGAAAAGAAATATATATGGAAAATAAAATTGGTGTTAGATTCTGAGACACATCAGCTGCCTTCTGACAGTGCAATCCTATACGGGGCTGCTCAAAAGTAAGTCCCATTGAGTTCAAGGGAGGTTTATTCTCAGAGAAGTATGTATATAGCAAGAGTAAGGAACCTCTGCCCTTTTGAAGGGCACTGGACAACAATCATCAACCCAATCAGGGCTTCAGCATGGTGCCACTCGTAAACTGTAATGGGCGAAGACTCTGGAGACTTGGATTCAAATCCCCTCCCACCCCTCATGGGAGGGAGGGGAATGGTAAACCACTCCTTAAACATCTCACATACCTTGAAAACCCAATTAGGTTCCCTAGAGTTTGAATACAACTTGACTGGAAGTCAACACAAGACATCCCTAATCTAGAACAATAATTTGATTATAACTAGGGGAAGAATAGCTAAACAACAAGCAAAAATCAGCGAAAGATTTCAAAGAACCAGGAGAAGTAAAGCACGCAGGTGTCCTCTATATTAACACACCTCTATCTGAACAGCCTATTTCACCCAAATCTATTTTAAAGATAAAGCACATGAAGAAGGAGTCTGGAAGCTACCTCTGAACTTTTAGCTCCTGGTGGCTAATGTGTCCCCCCCTCTTCTATTTCTCTTTATACCATAGCCTTATTTTCTGAATTAGCAGCTATTCGCAAATCTTACACGCCGCTTTTATCGTCATTACTAAATGGCCACTCTAAAAGGAAATGCTTGAGTCCAGCGTTGCTCTGTGTCTGCCTTTCCAGATGTTATCGGCGTCTGATATCCATGAATATTCTCCATGCTGGATGGAGCTTCGGAGTCTTGATGTCCAGAACATCAAGAGCAGTATCTCCCAGACTTGGGTAATCCAGGTGTTCTTGGACTACAACTCCTAGAAATCCTGGCCATCACAACCGGTGGTCTTCTGGGAAATTTAGTCCAAGAACATCTGGAGGACCCAAGGTTGAGAACGACTGATCTAGAGAAATGCCTCCCAACCCTTGGTCTCCAGATGTTCATGGACTAGAATTCCCAGAAATCCTGGCCAGTCCAGCAAGTGGTGAAGGCTTCTGGGAGTTTTAGTCCATGAACACCCGGAGACCCAAGGTTGGGTGGGAATTCCAGAGGACTGGAATTTGAGAACAACTCCTTTAGTGTAAATGTTTCTTGCTTCAGATGGACTTTGGGGTCTTGAGAAAGACCTAGAAGCCATCTTGTTCCCTCTGAGTGTCCAATGAGATATTAAGGGAAAGGCATTGCCCCTGACGATAAATCTGTTCTCCCTTTCAAAAGGGGGTTATTTCTGCAGAGCATGCTCCCACAATCAAACTTGCTAATGAAGCCCATGCTTACTTGCCAGGGACCAATCAGAAAACAAAGTACGGGTAAATGCGAGATACGGAGGGGAGGAGAATTGCATGCAGTGACAAACGGGTCTCTTTCTCCACACAGGAGAGGACTTTTTGGAAAATGCTGGTAAACAATTCCTCTAATCGGACCCTGAGCTTGAAAAAAATAAACTGATTTTTCTTTCATTCCACCCCACCTCCATGGTGGTTACAGCAGGGCCACCTGATACGAAACGTGGAAACCAGTTGCTACAGAGGTTAGTGTAAGGTTAAAACGACAGGAGATGACACAGAGTCAGCCCACGTTGAGACACCCAGCGACCATGTCCCTACCTGACAAGACCTGGGTCTGGGTTATAAGGTGGAGGGGGGCTGCAGTGGGACCCGGAGACCATTGCCTGGGAAGAATGTCCGCCGTTCATTTCTCCATTGGACTGCATGGCGTGGCTGTTCAGCATGCCTGGCCCTGGGTTCAAGAAACGGCAAAAAGCCAGCTCAGTGAGTTTTTAAACACATATCCAACCACATGCCCAAACATAGTGATTCAGAATAGAGAGGCTGAAATCCAGTTCATCACCTGCCTAGATGTGTGTGGATAAACATGGCCGCACCAAGCGTGGCCAGAAAAGTGAAGAAAATAAACTGGGTCTCATCGGCGGTGGCCCCTATTCTCTGGAACAGGCTGCCAGTGGAGATACAGGAGGCTCCTTCCCTCCTCATGGTCAGAAAACTGTTAACAACTATTAAAAACAACTGTTCGAAGCTGCCTTTAACAACCGAGTCTACCAGATCCTGTTCATGTTAATACTTGATTTTTCTTTTCCTGTTTTCTCTTTTCTTTCAAAGATTTTTTTAATCACTATATTGCCCTGTCTTTGAGAGTTGTAACTTTGTGACTTTGCAATTTGTAAACCTCCCAGAGTAATGCAGGCACTAACAGGGCAGCATATAAATAAAATAAATTAAATTAAAATAAAATTAGTTTGCTACGCATTAAACCCAGGCAAGGCAGATTAGGTCACTCAGTTATATAGTTCCAGTTGTGACTGACTGCACAATGCGTTGGCAGAAGGGCTTCATGGATAACACGCCCACCTTGGGGATATTGCGGCTATCACAAGCTTAACACTGCGTTACACCAAAGTAGCTACTCCACAGGATTCCAGCCATAATTGCAGCTAGGAACTTTTCCTGGTAACAAGGATATAAGCAGTTACATTCCAAATCTAAAGTAATGAACGCTAACAAAGTTACTGTTTTAAGGACGTGAGTTTCCATTCAGACATGACTGTTAGAAGACGTTCTAATAAATTAAAAGTATTGCACAGGCTTTTCTTTTTCCAAATGCAGGGGGTGGAGGGGGATATGGGAAGCACAGCCTAATCCTAGAACGATGGATCTTGTTGGCTAATTCCAGTTGCTAAGTAGGTTTCGTCCCCGTGTCAGGCTCTGCCCTGTCAGCTGCAGGATTGGGGCCAGCCAGACCCAGGACTGGCCAGGTGTTTACAGGCTCAGGCCCTGGCCTGGCTGGGCCACTCATGAAGTTCACCTGGAAACCTGAAGACCTATTTCAGGAGTGGTTCTCCCCTCCCAAAACTGGCCTCAGCAAGAAAGGTCTTTGGATTGTGCTGTGCAGTTCCTACACCTGTTCCTGCATCTCTGTATCTGGATTCTGGTGTTCCTGCCTCTGTTCCTGCCCCTGCCTTGGTTCCTGCTTGCTTTCACCTGCCCCTGCCTTGGTTCCTGCTTGCTTCCACTGATCTCCTGCATCTCGGTGCATTATTCCAGCTCCCAATCCTTCAGCTGCATCTCGGTGCCTTGTTCCAGCTCCATCCTCCCAATCCTTCAACCTGGCTCCCAGCCCGGTGCTCCTGCCTGGAGCACTCTTGGTAATCTCTTGATGTTCTCAAGGAAGAGGAGAAGACAGAAACCCATCAGGTCTCACATGTTCGATACCTTACCCATGGGCCCAAGGTTCGGGCTGGCCCCAGGGCCATGCTGCGGAGGCTGTCCAACCAGCTGGTTCACGGAGGGCAGTTTATTGATCCCTCCCGCGTGGAGCTTGTTCATTGGCGACAGAACCGGACCGTACGAGGAGGGAGGCTGGAGGTGAGACCTAATCGGAAGCAGATCCTACAATCAGGTGGGGGAAAACGAACTTCCCCGAAGAACAGACGCCTGGATTCATGGGCCCTGTAGAGAGCAGCTTGGGAAATTTCCCTTTAAGAGACCTACAGGCCATAGCCCGGTTGGGTGGGGAATTATGGGAGTTGTAGTCCAAAAAAAATCCAACTGTTCCCATCTCTAACTCCAAGTCATTTCCCCCAAGTAATGACCTGTTACAGTTAACAGCTGTTAAAAGTAACTTCCTGATTCTTAAAAAGTAACTGAAATTGTTACCTTTTTCCGCAGAGCTTGGAAAAGTTTACTTTTTAAAGCTTGCAATCAACTCCCCTCTCCCTGACGGAACAACCTGGGGGCCATACCGGCGACAGGATTCGAGCAACAGTGACCCAAGAAAGGTACTTTTCCAAAGTGAGCGAGCGAGCGAGACTGGCAAGGAGCCGATCAAAGTTTTGGGAGGTCACGTGGGGTTCTTAGAATATCTGGGGGATGCTACTGGTGTTGCCGTCTAAGGAACTCTTTCCATGGAGGAGCAAGGGTTATCGTATAATTGCTCCGTCATTGCCCCGTCATTGCCCCATCATTGCCCTGTGATATCTCAACCATGCAGCCCTTTCCTCCTTTATCACCCCCTTAACTACCCATGGGAAGCTGCAGAAGATGGAGGGAGGATGGGGATAAGCACTGGGGACTCACTGGCGCTGCAGAAGTTGCTGCTGCTGTTGTCGGTAAGAGTCCACCAACTGCTGGGGGACCAACTCAACCAACTCTAGACTCTCTTTGATCTTCATCAAGATCTCAAAGTTCTCCCGGCCACGAACCTGAATAAGAATAACAACAACAATCATCAACCTCATCATTATGAGTTCTCCCGGCCACGAACCTGAATAAGAACAACAACAACAACCATAATCATCAACCTCATCATTTTAGAATGGCAGAGCTGGAAGGGACCCTATGGATCCTCGTCAAGGAAGCCCATCGGGGAATCGAACTCCCGACCTCTGGCTCTGCAGCCAGAAACAATGGTAGTGGATTCTGGGGGCTGTAGTCCATAACATCCTAAGAGTCTACAGATCAGGAAGGACTAATGGAGTCCACCCTGGTGTGGAGTGGGCCAAGTGCAAATCCTCCAGGCACGGGGGGGGGGGGGGGGCGGCTGTACAAGACAGCCTAGGAAACTGTTAACTTCAGCGGTACTTACAGGCACGTAATAGGTCTCCTCTTCCCCGTGCCTTCGCTTCTTAATTCCAGTTGCCAGGGCTGGGATGCCTTGAGGGCTTTGCTTAAAAGCTAGGAAGGAAGAAGGAGGGGAGGCCATTAAACAGGGATCCACTTGAAAGGAGAAGCATAAGGGCATGGGGAGGGCCAGCCAGGGGTGATGGTGGACGGTGGCCACAATTCCTCTTCCAAAAGAAAAACAGTGCTGTAGAAGCGACCATTCTCTCTCTCTCTCTCAAAGAGAGCTCTGCTGAGTGTTGTTGGAAGCGGTTGTTCGTTGTTTTTTGCTGTTGATCTGCTCTCAGCCGTAAGTAATGAAACATTTTTATTCTTTTGGTTGTTCAACCTTCAGAACACGGCCCAAGAGCCCGAAAAAGCCACAGCAACCATCAGATCCCGGCCGTTAAAGCCCTCGAGAATACATTTTTATTCTTTCTCCAACAGATGTCTCAGAGCGAGTGACTGAGACTCTAAAGTGCCGGCTCACGAGAAAGGGGTGGACGTATCTGGGGAACTGACAGCTAATCTCTTCTGGAAGTCTCAGGAATTCTATGGCAGAACGGAAGAGAACTTGACCAGGGCACTAGGATTTAGAGGGTGCAGAAATATACGGCTGGAAGGACACGGAGCTGTGCATTTGCTGGAAAGGAACGGACCCATTTGTGTCGAGTGTATAGACACACAAACTTCAACACAGAACTGATATGATCGTGGGATGCTCCTATGTCCCTTCTTTGGCCTCAGCCTTTTGCAGCCTCTTCTTATGTAAGTAATCAAGCTAGACTTGCTAGTTGCTTTCTGGGGGTGGATACTGGACCCTTCCACCCCAGAACAGATCCCCCAATAGCAGGGCATGGGGCTCCCCACGTTGGGTCACCCAAGTGTTCTTGGACTGCAATTCCCAGAAGTCTTCCCCATCAGCTGTGCTGGCCAGGATTTCTGGGAGTTGCAGTCCAAGAACATCTGGAGACCCACGGTTGGGAGCCCGTCACCTAGAGGGTCCCAGCCCTTCAACACTGGCCCCCAGGCTTCAGCTGCAGCCCCATGACTTACTCCGCTTGTTGGGATTGCCATTTTTGGTGGTGCTGTCACTCAGGGCTTGCTGCTCGCGGTAGTGATCCTCGTCTGCTTTCCGATCTCTCCCCGGGCAAGCGCAGATCCGGCCTTCGAAGGACCTCCGGCCCAAAACCTGCCCACTGGGGAGGGGGAAACAAAGGGGGAAATCTACTCAATGGGCATCTATCCATGTGCTAAGAGAATATTCTGTTGCCCAGTCTTGTCTAGCTAGTTACCGACATACGGAGAGATTGACAGGTTTGGAAGATCATGTGCTAAGAGAATATTCTGTTGCCCAGACATACGGAGAGATCGACGGGTTTGGAAGAGGCTTACGAAACATCAACAGACCTTTGAGAGGAACCCTACATGTGAGTTTGTGTTGATAACAAAGAGTCAAAAATTAATAAATAGATACAAAAACCAACAGACATGGTGCAAAATCCTGGGTGACACCACTCTCCCCATGCCCTGGAGACCTCCAGGCCTCGTTCTGTCTGCCTTGGGAATCAAGTTACGTCACTAGCCCGGATTTGGGAATGAGCTGGCGTGACCCACTTACTCTCTGGTTTCTAGCGAGATAATGATAAGGATGGGTCGCCGGTTCATCCCGCCCACGCAGCTACTGTTGCACATGAAGTTATACAGGATGGTGGTGAATTCGGTGCCCACCTGTTCCAAACAAAGTGGGGAGAGAGAAAAGCAAATTTAGTGCCCCAGATATTCGGACGTGCGATGTCACTCTTCCTAAGCTGAAGGCACAGTAAACAGTTTCGCGGCATACGCTCTTCAGGTATCCAATTAGGTATGTGTGAAATTTAGTGTCTGGCCCCTTAATCAAGACAGAGGACAATGACTGGTGTCCAATTACATAGGCATAGAAGCACATGTGAATTTTGAAGTGATTGTTTTGAAATGATAGGAGCTTAGGGGTGGAGCCTAACAGGAAAAGGGGTGGAGCCTATGCACTTTTTCGGGCCAGGAGAAAAGACAAAACAGGGCAGAAACTGTGCATTGAGTTCCCAAAGCTTCTTCCTCCTTGGAAAACAAAATGGCGGCCATCATTACATCACCATCCAGGTGAGCCACCTTTACACCAGCCACAGATTGTGGGGAACTGGTTTGGCCCTTCTAGCAGGGCAATTCTGGACTCTTAGTCCAAAGAGATACTGTAAGGAGTTTTTTTTTAAAGCCCTAGAGAGTTATGAAGCTAAGATGGGAGGAAGAACCATCTCTTGGGGGAAAATAAAGGTTATACAGTCATACGATCAAGCGTATAAGAACAAAAAGCAAAAGCTGCAGTAATTTTGCTGAACACTAGGGGGTGATGCAACCTTTCCCATAAACTGCCAGGATGGTGATTTTCTCTCTTTTTGCTGCAAGGTTGGTGAATTAAAAGCAATATCTTGGTGGGGAAAAAAAACTGTTGCTTCACATAGTCAGCCTCACTACAGGTAGGCCCACTGAATCAATGGGGATTTGCTGAGTCAGCTCTTCTGCACGTCCCATGGATTCAAATGGGTCAAATCTAACTGCGACCTACTCAGCTAAAGCAAGTGACGGCAAAAGTAGATGCATTTGGATCAATGGAGCTGACCCAAGGGTTGACTCGCCAAACCCTTCCTTGATTCAATAGTCCTGCTCTAGTGCAATTTTCTTTGTTAAGTAACAGGATCTTGAACAGTGTATTTGGGTTTCCTACAAGTCATGATCCCACAGTGCTTCCACAATGTGGACACGGATATATTTTACCTGTGGGGGCTCATATGGAACCATAACACTCTGCCTCCCAGTGACAGGGTCATCCACGTATTGAGAGAGATTGTTCCCTTCGACGCGGATTAAATGGCTCGCCGGTGCAGACAGACCTGTGAAGACACAAACATGAAAACAGGAGATACAGGTCAATGGCAAACGTTTCTTTGGAGCTAGAAAGGTCAGGATCATGCCCATAGGGCAGTGGTTCCCAACCTTGGGTCCCCAGAGGTCCTTGGACTACAACTCCGAGAAGACCTAGCTGTGTTGGCCAGGATTTCTGGGCGTTGTAGTCCAAGAACACCTGGAAGACTCAAAGTTGGGAACCACTGCCATACGCGATACTCTTTCGGGAAAGGAAGAAGATCTTCAAGGTGGATAGGCACCCAAAGCATCCTCAGTAATTAGGAAAGGTTGGGTGACAGCTGTGGGAAGGGAGGACTGGAAAAGGAGAGTGGAATGGGATGGCGTGTCCTTCAGAAGGTCTGACATGAACGGCTGGAGAGCCCAGTGGTTTAGGTCTCTGGCTGTGGAGCCAGAGGTTGGGAGTTCGAATCCCCCACTGTGGCCTCCTTAAGAGGAGCTGGACTGGATGATCTCTATAGGATCCCTTCCAGCTCTGCAGTTCTAAGATCATGTAGAAATCTCCATGCTCTTGTGGGTCCGGGTGTGATTTTATAAAAAACTGAGCAAACTGTATGGTTTATCCATTTACCACATGTGCATAGCCACTCCATTCGTTAATACATTGAATGATTAATTGGAATGTTTCTATGTTATGTCCAACGATGAGAGACAGCAAAAGAGCACTAAACAATATGAGATGGGAACACACTGCTCAAGATTGTGAAACAATCCAAAACTGTATAACCATGGAAAACAATTGAAACCATTTCGCAATGACTCCGCACAGTGGCCAAAATGTTATAGGGCATTTACACCGGCATAAGTATCATTTTGTAAATTGCAGGGCCAAATTGCCATTTTCATTCCGGATGGCTGTCAAGTTGTACGACTTGACACAAGACTAGTAATGAGAACAGCAGCTAATTCCTTAGTGGAAATTGACCAATGTAAGTCAGTTACACTTATGCCAGTGTCAATTCCTACCAGGATTCTGGCCACCACATCCTATTGATTGTGCGTTGCACCCCTAGTGACACAGCTGGCTGAAGAATTCTAGGAGCTATAATTTTATAAAAGAAAATCTAATCCTATCCACGGCTTGCAAGATCTTCCACTTGAAAGCATTTTGAATGAAGCATTTGTCAATAACAATGTTGAGCTAAACCAACAGAGGAGGGCAATGAGAATGATAAGAGGGCTGGAAATCAAGCTCCTTTTTAAAGGGTCAAAATGTGGATGTGTTGTTTAGGGGCAAAACATGCCCCTGGAGGAAACGGTCTCACCATCATTGAAGTCGCGGCCAAGCTCATGGTTTGGGCAGCGTTTCACCACTTCTGTCACATGCTCTGCCTTCTTGTAGACGGGCATGGCCCGGATGATGGTGCCCGGCGGCGGCGGAGTCGACACTTTGATCTGGATCGGACACGTCTTGGCGATTTGACAGTAGAGCTTCTTGAGCAACGGCGAGTACTAGAAAGAGGAACAGATTTTTGTGCAGATCAGGCAAGGTTAAGACCCGACCTATACGTATGACGGGGGCTGAGGATGGCCAGGGAGGACAATCCCTACCTTAAAAATCCCTCGAGGAAAGATGGAGAGAACTGGACACTTCCTAATGAAAAGGGATCTTTGTATTTCCAAATGAGAAAAAGCCAATGCTGGCTTGACTGAAGGGCAATCAGAGTTTCTTTATCTCTCCAGTGTATGAGATTTATTCAATTGCTTCATCAGTCCCTCTAGCTTGATATGATCAACTCTGATTAGCAATAATAGGTCTTCAAAAATTTAGGATCCTCTCCTAGCCCTATCTCGTGAAATCTAGTGGTCTCCCAATACCAAGATAGGGCTAGGGAAGGATCCTGCCCAAACTTAACCAGGAGTTACTCTATTCAGGTTCTAAAACAAGCTGAGGTAGGCATATTCGGGTAGGTACACTAGAGTTAAGACTACAAGGGGAGGTGAAGAATATACGTACAAAAAGATCGTCGCTAAGCGGATTCATCGTAATGTGGGGCAATCGCAAAGCGAGGCACCACGGTATGTGTTCATTTTGGGCACGACAATTGAACAACACAAATGGCCTTGTCAATTCTTCTTTCAGTTCGTTCCAAAAGCACAACAAATGGACCCCATTCGTACACTTTCCATCCTTATGTGGAGGAAGAGTGATACTGCTTTGTTTTGATCATTCTCTCAGTGGCTGAAATCCTGTTGCAGAGCTCTGCAGACAGCTTACCTTTTAGATGGAAACTGACGTAAGTTAAGAAATCTCTGTAGGCATGATGTTGCACGCCAAGACATGAGACTCAGTGGGCCGCAGATAAAGTCTACAGAGATTTCTTAACTTACAGCAGCTCTCTTCCAAACAAAAACTTCTTAACTGTTAGAGCAGTACAACAACGGAACCCATGACCTGAGGAGGGGGTGAGCTCTCCGGTGCTGGAGGCCTTCAAGAGAAGACGGGACAACCATCTATCAGATCTGCTTTAATTTGGATTCCTGCATTGAGCAGAGGGTTGGACTCTGTGGCCCTATAGGCCCCTTCCACTCCATTATTCTAGAGTTCTAGGATTACACCATTTGCGTAAGTGCGCGACAGGATCTCTGCCAATGTTTTTCTCCCAAATTGCCTTAGCATCAAAGAGCTGTGACCCTCCTCCTTTGGACTTCCCAATGTTGTGGATCAACCCCCACCATCCTAGTTCACGAGCCATGCTGGGGCTTCCAGGAGTTGGCTATTTGAGGACCACTGAGAAAATCAAGGAGAACAAACCTATCAATTCTAAAGGAAATCAAACCTGAGTGCTCACTGGAAGGACAGATCCTGAAGCTGAGGCTCCAATACTTTGGCCATCTCATGAGAAGAGAAGACTCCCTGGAAAAGACCCTGATGTTGGGAAAGTGTGAAGGCAAGAGGAGAAGGGGATGACAGAGGACGAGATGGATGGACAGGGTCATCGAAGTGACCAACATGAAATTGACCCAACTTTGGGAGGCAGTGGAAGACAGGAGGTCCTAGCGTGCTCTGGTCCATGGGGTCACAAAGTTGGAAAGGACTAAACGACGAACAACGAGAAAATCAGACATGGCTTCCATAGACTCAAAGGGTTGTCGGAGCAAAGACTCACGACTAACTTTCCCACCCCAAAATAGCATCTTGTTTAAGGGCTCCGATCAGCCCTGCCTTCCACCCGGCAAATCCATCCGCCGTATCATGATGCTTCTGTTCCAAATTGTGTTTCTTCTTATTATTATTTTCAGGCAGCAATGGGGACTGGGTGTGTTTCTCCCCAACATGCTGGGACAGGCATCTTAACCTTTGCAACCAGATCCCAAACAGCCACCTGGAATTTTAAAGCTGCTCTGTATGAATTGGACTCTTTGCTCAGATCTGCCAGGACACGTTGGCTCGGGAGCGAAAGCAGGAGAGGAGGTCTCAGCTCCTTGAAAAGTCTGGATTGCCCCCTCCAAATATGCTTTGAACTGCTTAATAATGACCACAGGGAGATGATGCAGATAAATCCAGTAAGCAGTTGCTTCTCCTGGCCTTTATCTCCATGTCACACTCTTGTTTAAGCCACCGCGACAGCACTGGAGAAGAAACAGATGAGACCTCGGCTTCGGAATTACCAGCTCAGTTTCCCAAACATTTATTATTATTTTCCTTCCTCTGTCCCTCCTGTGCATTAGCTTGCTTTGTTCATGGACCGGTCATCATCCGATTAGCACGGGATTCATTTGCAACTCAACCAGGCAAATGCGAAAGCTTTGAAGCTCTGCAGGTTTGGGAAAGAGAATGTTTTATCACTTTCTAATTGTGAAGCTGGCACATTGGGCATTTCTGGCTTCAAGGACTCTCCGTAAAAACCTGTGGACCAGATATTGTGCTCCTTGTGCCTCAAAAAAGTGGATTGCAATCCAGAAAAGCTCACACTGGGGGGGAAATTGCTAGTGTTAAGTGTGGCACAGCACTTAATTTTTGTTGTTCTTCCGGCTGAAACAGGCCTACTGCTACCTGTTTCTGTTCAGACATTCTTGGAAATGCCCTGTTTTCCTCCCTTTATTTATTCACTCTCTTGCCTTTTATAGCTGTCTCCTTAACATGTATCAAGTTAACATCACAGCCTTATCCTGAGATGGAATTCCTAATTTGATGTCTCGGTCTGCTTTGTCATAATGTCACAATTAAAGCGGGTAAGAAAGAGAGCAAGAGAGAAAGAGAGAGATGCCCTGGCATCTTAAACACTAACAGAGATGTTTCAATAAGAGAATGCCATGCTAAAATCATGAAAATCTCTTACAAAACCAATCAAGTCAGTTTGCATCGTCCCAGAGGTGAAATCAAATGCAAATGTTAGTTAAGGATTCCCCTCTTTCAATCTCAGGCTATCTCTAATGTCTGTTTCTAGCCTAAACGTCTTATAATTTTATTTATTTATTTATTTATTTATTTGATTTGTATCCCGCCCATCTGGTAGGTCAATACCACTCTGAGCGGCTAACATAAAAATATACAATTATAATAGCATAAATCCAAAAATCCAAAAATCCAAAAATCCAAACTCAGTTGACCTGATTCTGTATCGCAGAGATATTTATTTATGTAAAATACTAAATTTTAAATGGAAAAAAATCCACTGAAACTTCAAAATCTAATCCATGCTATCAAGAAGGACCTTTTTAAGCAGTAAATTTTGAGGGAAAGGTTTTCACTATGTTGTAAAAATAGACATTGACAACCCAGCCATAGGAGGGAAAGCCACCACCTCTATTCTGAGAAAAATAGGGATGTATGAAGTGTCTGGCTTTTCACTATATATATATATAACTCCTTCTCCACAGACTACAGGGAATGAGTTGGTGTGCCATTTTGGGCTCGGTTAGCCACCGTTTGAGAATTTCTGTCCTAGGATAGACTATGTCTGTTAATAGTCTCAGAACTTCCGAACTGGAAGGGGTGCTATGGGTCATCGGGTCCAGCCCCTCTCAAGGAGACCCAGTGGGGGGAATCGAACTCCCAATCTTTGGCTCCACAGTCAGATGCCTAAACCCTTCAGCTATCCAGCAATTCCATGACGTGATCTCTCGTCTTCTCTTTCCCCCATTCTAGAAGGGACGGGCGTAGCTTGACTAGTCCTTACATGGCAGAGCATGTCCCGCAGTTGAACGCATTCCACGTCCTCCCCATGAAAGGCAACGTGGTGCCAAATCAACACACACACACACACACACAAACACACACACACAAAATCCTTCAAAATACCATCTCATGCAGAAAAACTCCTAAGGTGTGTTTCAAAAGCCGAGGAGGTCCTTGCTTTGACATGCCCTCCTCGCATGAAGATGCCAAGATGAAAAATGTGGTCTTTGAAAGGATTATCAGCTTTGTCTTCCTTCACTTCTCCATTTTCACCCCGAAAAGAGAAGGTTTGGTCCCATTGCATGGCTTTGAGTGTATCGATCATTCGTAGTGTTAGCCTGTTTGGGTCCGCTTGAGGAGAAAAGTAGGTATACATATTCTAAGTAGATAAAGGATAAATAGCTGTTTGATGGAACTTTAATGGATGTGGTTCCATCCTGCAGAATGGGATCTGTAGTCTGTTTAAAATTCTCATAGATGGTTGGATAGCTCAGTAGCTGAGGTCTCTGGCTGTGGAACCAGAGGTTGGGAGTCTGATTCCCCCCACTGGGCCTCCAGGGAAAAGAGACAGCCTGGGTAGCTTTGGGCAAGCTGCACAGTCCCAGGGATCCCTCCCCAGAAGAAGGGAAGAGGAAACCACTTCTGAATTTTCTCTACCTAGAAAACTCTGGAAAGGGTTGCCATAGGGCAAAATTAATTTGACGGCACACAATTGTTGCTGTTGTTGTTCAGAAGGGCACAACAGTGTTCTAGCAGAGAAGCATCCCATTGGGATCTACCGAAAAATGTCTCAAAAGGCCATCCATCCATCCATCCATCCATCCATCCATCCATCCATCCATCCATCTCTCTCTCTCTCTCCATCCATCCATCCATCCATCTCTATCCATCTCTATCCATCTCTATCCATCCATCCATCCATCCATCCAT